ACTCTCTATCCCCTCCTCGCTCCCTCCCTTCCCTCCCCTCACCCTGACCATTTCCCCCCGATGCTCGGGTCCTGACCCAACTGTACTGCGCCTTGGGACTTCCTCCCGACGTGAAAGGCGTTCTATAAATGGAATCTTGTTGTTGTTGAGTGGAGACTGGACTTAGCTCCACAAGAGAGAGTAATAACAAATAGTCATTCCATTGCACCTGCTAAGGGATAGTTTTACATGACATACTTGTGGAATCCCAATTCTCACATTTTCCGTATTAAGGAATCCTGTTATGAAATATTGTAAATTAGGTCCTGTTGTCCATATTGTCTTGCTGGAGAAGGAGACCAGCTTTGAATGTCACATTAGCACCAGACAGGAGATGTTCAATGACTGTGGTGGTACACTGTTGAGTTCTAACAGGACTGGCCATAACCACATTCCAGCATTTGCCAGAAAGTTTTCCAAATGGTCTTTTAAAGCCAATAAGCGCCACGAGACAATCATAGCTACAGCGGAATCGAGGGCACTGTATAAATGCAAGTTGTTGTTGTTCTTTCTACAGATCAAGACGACAGCAGTATGAGGGTCTTCAGCACTTTGTAATGAATGAAAAAGTAGACTTAAGGGGAACTCTTGATTGAAGCCAGGTCTGGGGAGGGACAGAGCAGGAGCACGCAGGGATCATGTCAATGTGTACGGCTATTTTACACAGTGGCCAGTTTGGAGAAACATTGTAAGACTCCTCTTCCGGTATTTAGAGTATGAAATGGCAGATGGCCCAGCGAGATCCATCAACCAATACATCCAGCAATGTACTGCTGGAGTCCCACATCAGAAAAGATTGGGAAAGTAGCTGAAAGACAGAATATTTGTGCATTCGGAGGATAAATTTATATTTAAAATTTTAAAAATTTCAAACAAATATACAGCAATCTGCCGAAACTCAGCCTGAAAACAAGACTGTAAAACCCGCCAAGATCGACTGTGGTTGAAGATTAGCATCAGACGACAGAACACACTGACGTTAGTTACATGTAAGTGCTGTGAGAAGCACAGTAACACCTGCTAACTAACTTGTTGATTCTACAATGTTTTCGTTTTTTTTGTGAATTAAGATGTTGGCATAGTTACATCGTCTGAGGCGTCTCTTCCATCGTAGTTTGTGGTTTCCTGTAAAGCTTCTCGCAGGTGCAGCTATGAAGTGGGAACTTTGCCGCACACCACAACGCTACTCTTTAGTGTAAGGTGCAGACGTATGCAGATGTTCTGCTGTGTGGATATCAATAAGTAGGGGAATAACGGGCACATGGTTCAGTGGGGATTTCATAACATGTGGTGCTCTTGTTTTGCTGAATTTTCTACCAAAACCTTGCCTTGTCTTTTGAATGAGACGTCACACCAACGTCCTGTCTGCTTTTTGACGGGGGCGTTTAGGATTCCATGGCACTATTTGAAAAGAGAAGGGAGTTTCTCCTGATGTTCTGCCAACAATCCCCCAAATAATGTTGGTTATTCACTGCGTGGCTCTTTGTGGGACATTCCCTTGTGCAAATTGACATTCGCCACAAAATACATAGTCACCCCGCTTTAAAGTATATCCTTGAAGTACTTTGAGCCGTACTTCTGATATCAAAGGGGTTACATCAAAGCAAGGATTACTTTTTTTTACACACTGTTTAGGTCATTTTGTCTTAAAATTTATGAATTGCACAGAGTGGTGGCGAGTTCTTAAACTCAGACTTAATTTGATGGTCGGCTCTTTGTTTAGAACTGCAGAAAACCAGCTAAAAAATTGAGGCTGAACTTAAAAAACTCCCACAAAAATCTGACACACCTCAAGTGTTGGAACAAAATCGTCTCACTGGCTAAGACGAGGTTAAGTTTGAGCCTTATAGCAGTGGAATCATTTGAAAATGCCCTGTTCTAATTCATGATTAAAAACCTGAACAGATTTTTCTGACTCAAAGTTGTATGTCGGGTTATACAGCTCACTTCCTTCTTCACTAAACCCCATGAGCAGATGACTGCTCTGTTGCTCTGCTGTGTGGTGCATTGTTTTTGTGTGATACTCCCTAGTGAATTAGGCCTCGTGACACTGTGATCTCAATAAAAACTCATGGAAAAGTATAGCAATGCACAATATAAAATGTATTCTGACTGCAGTCTCCCATTTTTGACCTTTCTGGTCCAAATCACTTCTGAGTCATAATTCTCAAAAGGTAAGTCTCCAACTGGGGCTTTGCCACCAGGTGAAATTCTCCCTAATGGATTTTTTCTAAAATTGAAAGTTACTCACTGTTGAGTCACTCTTAGACACACATGCCTCATAGTGGCATGCTCTAAAAAGCAACCCTTGTGGAGAGTGGATGCTGGCTGTGCAATAATTACACAATGGTACAGAGAGACAAAAAGGAATGGGTAAAGAAAGAGTGCAAGTAGACAGCATAATGATACGGTTACATTACCTAGACAGAGCTAATGCGTGTATCATGAGGGTATGGCTTTACATCATGCGCAGGGTAGCCCTGCTTTCCACCCGCCCACCTCTTTCAGAGCCTGATGTGGGCTGTATTTTATCTGTTCTACAAGGCCATGGGGTTGGAAGAACTCATAATTGTATGATTTGAGGCATTTGCTCGACATGAAAGGCCCTATATCAAATACAATACAATTGATAAATAATAATAATTAGGTACAAACCTAGGATGTAATGTTATATGGTGCATTAGGAGAAGCTGGAAAAAAAATCTGCTGAGAAAATGAATAAACTGAAAATAAAGCAAATAATTAGAGGAGGTACGATTAAAACATCAACTAAAGGTAAAAGAACATACAGTGTGCTAGCTGCAAAACTAAAGCAGACTATCGACTCCTAATTAGGAGACCCAATACGACTTGTGCTGTGAATGGTATTTCGACTCGAGCTTAATCTGGGGAATGAAGGAGGAGTGGAGAGGGTCACTCTTTGCTACAGTAGGAGCTAACAGAGGGTGGGGGTGGGCGAGGGGGGACGTGGTATTCCTGTTTCTACATTAGTGAGAGAGCAGAGAGGAAACAAGAAACAAATAAGGTCAATCAGCATCAGGAGCAGGAAAATAACTTATCGTTCCAAGCAATGACGCTGGAGGGGAGACAATGCAGATTTTAAAGAAGACATGTATAAATTCAGACGAGTAACTCTTAATTACAATAATACAGCGGGCTATTGTTTCTCTTTGACAGATGGTGGCGGCTTTACCCTGGTAATCTGCTGCTTATTTGTTTTTTTGTGCCACAGTTCGGTTTGTGCAGCTGGGTATCTAATTTCGACAGTGGTTTTGAATTTATTAAAGCGAAGCCTTTGGAAGATGTCACAGATTCAGCAGAATGGTACCACTTATAAAGTCAAAGTGCCTTCTCCAGACTTTATTTGTCACATTGCTGTGTATCAATCCCTATTAAGCACATTATTGCTGATTGTACATTGATGCTTTGAAACTGGTTAGTTCATAATGTTCAGACTGGTTAAATGGAAATCAACATTAAATATGATTGGCATCTTATTAGTGCAGCTTAACATCTGTGTGAGTCTATCAAGCACTCGGACTGTGCTGACAGCAGGAGCTGTGCTGTTCTGATGCACAAATGGGACCAACCTTAATGAGGGTTAATAACAATCATATAGCGTTAGCCGTGGAGAGGGCAGTATGTCTTTCCCAATGGGGGATTGAAGCTATTTAAGCCATAAAACATGCAATTCATTGAAGTTCATTTCCCAAGTTAACTGCATTCTGTGTTATTTACAATTTTTTCTGTGTTTCCAGATCATCATCCCATTCTTTAATTATATTATTTCCGTCTGCCTTGTGATTCAAGCGAATGTGAAGGGACTGTCCAGCTTTTGCTATTTCAAAGAAACATAGAATGTTTCTGTTCATTGACCAGGCTCATATTTGCCTCCCAATCCAATTTTTCCTCCAATTCAAATTCATTGGCTGCTCATCTCAAACTGCATTCACTGACAAGTGTTTTGTTTCTCATTTTTTAATTTATTTTTACTTTTGAGGATCTTTGAATTAGATAATATCATTTCAACACACAAGAGAGAACCCAGCCATGTCAGTAAAGATATAAATAAAGAAATAGAAAATAAATAAAGAGATCAATATCAAGATTAGAACAATCATCTGTATCAGTTGCTTGAGACAAGACAGAGTCAACACCAACACATTATATAAAACTAAGACTGGTGAAACTGTGGTGCCAAGTTCAATAAAGCCTGATGTCAGGAGAACCAAGAGAAACCTATTGAAGCACAGTATTGGGGGAATTCCTGAAACCTGGAAGAAAGCCAAGAATTTACACAAGAAAAGACCTCTGTTAATATTTCTGGAATATATTTTCCCGCATTGTTTTAAAGCAGAGTTTTCTTATAGCTATGTATTGGATGGCAGTGAAAGTAGTAGAGGTGGCAGGAAAAGGGTGAAACTGCAATAAAATTAACAGTGGTAAAGGACTAACAGGTATAATGTGTCATTTAACAGGGGCTGCAGATTTTTCAGCAGTAGGATACAGTGAAATAAACTATACAGTATATACAGCCACTTTTTCTGGATAAACTACTGAAGCTTAATGCTGTCCATTGAACAGAGTCACAAACTCGATTGTCGATTTCAGAGATTCAGAAAAATATCAAATATTGCGTTCGGAACATAATTTTATCTTGGTGCCAAAACTAGGAAATATATTAATTGTTTTGCAAGCAGATAATCCTGAATTCAGTAGCATACAACAGAATGCATAACCCTTTGTTGCTGTTCCTACCAAACTTACTATTGTACATGTAGTTAGTTCTGTTTACTTTGTCGTGTCAGCTAGGGTGTGTAATGTAACCTGGTTTTCTTTAGATTCATTGCAATTGAAATATATAGACAAAATTGCTGTTCTCACTGTTTTACTTAATTGTTTCAGATCCAGCCTGAATAATCCACTCAGTCCTTCAAATGCCGCAATATTCTCATCACCCGGTTGCAGCTCACTATAGGTGTTAAGGGCTGGTTACCCGCTCTTCACTCTGCGTAATTTCAGAAGACGAACAGCCTGAACTCTTCAATAATTCCAGGTAGGTGTCTGATCTCAGGAATCTGGGATAACAATCCTTCGCCATCAGGCTATAGATGACTTCCTGTGCCATGTCAAAGCTGGAGTGGGTCGGCGTGCCAATGTTTCTGGTGATAGCTTCTCGTGTTACAAAATCAATGTTAATCTGTGAGAAAGGAAACAGCACAGCGCTTGTTGGTATATAAAGTAAAAAAGGTGGTGTTTTTCATTAAACTGGTCTACCTCTTGAAAAACTGATTTTGCATTTATAACTTAAGAAAAAAATACCTCTTTAGGGGCATTAGATTTTATAAATTCCGAATAAATCTTCTTGGCCTTGGACGCCAGTTTTGTAGCAGACTTTGTTTTCTTGTAGTCCTCACAAGCCAGCCAGAAATCAATGTTCTCATCGCTGAATTCTTTTTTGAGGAAGGTTCTGAAGGCAGCCTGACCAGCTGAGGAAAAGCAATGAGCTTTACAATCTATCGGTTGCACTGGATACACACTTTTTTTTTTGCTCAGCCATGTGTGACACATGCCCATCACCATGCTCAGGACCATCCAAACCAGACTGAGAATTCCGCATATGTATACATGGAAATTTCTGTGTCTGGAACAGAATGCACACTCTCTCCCTGGAGGAGCTCACCCAGCCTACCAAATTTCTCACAGTATTAGACACAGGTTGGCAAGGTCCAAGGTTTGGGGACCCCAACCTGTGCATTGGGATACTGTGGGAGCTTAACCAACTAAAACTGCTTAGCCTGCCATTGATATGAGACCCTGGGTCAGGTCACTTTCAAAGGCCTGTAACTGAAGTATAGTTGAAACCAAAAGAACAGGTATTTCAAATGCACAGTGTAAGTACATTTAACTTTCAAACATATAGGGTTCTAAAATATATTCATCAAAGGAAGAGAAATTCATTTCATTTTCCAGGCTAGGTTCAAACCTCAAAATCTCTATCTGTGACAAACCTTGTTAAAAAATAGTCATGTCCAGTCTACAGGGTAAGAGAGTATAGATAGGTCCAGAGAAATCTGATAAAAAGACCTAACTGAGTGTGACAACAATCTAGTATTAGGTGTCTTACTTTTCTGATGTGTTTATCAATGAGCTGCAGTTACCAAAACTTAACTAAAGAACTGCAGGACATAGTAAATGTAGCTTTCCCCATTTAGAACAACCAAAAATATATACTTTGTATAATATATACAATAAGACATAATATATCCTACAGATTTGAAAGTTAACTCGGGTCCCCCAGAAGTGTCAGAAAGGCTATCCCCTTCACTGTACCTTGTAACTCAAAATGATTGTATGAAGATATTTGGCTTTTGCTTACATTTATGAGCCAGCAGGCTGTCCACAGATTCGGACCATACCATTATCTCTTCAGGGGTTGGCCTATGGAAACAATAACAGCTGTCCTTGAAAATAGGATTGCAATCCTTCCAGGTGTTTCCTTATAATAGCAAAATGCAAATACAAACTAATGATAGATTTTGGTTTAATGTAATTTTTTAAAATAACAGGCTATAAATGTCTTCAGTAACAAGGCAGCCTTTCCAGATTTTTCAAACGACACATCAATAAAATAACTAAATACTTAAGACAAATGGAATGTAACTTACTTTATTGGCATCTTGCTTTGCTTTCACCCTCTCGATTTTTGCAGTTGTAAATTGCAAATTCAATTTATCCGAGATCTTAAAGCCTTATCTCTGTGAACAGTCAAATTAAATGTTAGATCAACGCTTTGGAAGTGAACTGCTACATATGGTGTGTTTTCAAAATGTGCCCGAAGGATGCACATGAAGCAGGGTTTGAAGCATACTGAAGGAACAAAATCTCTCTTATTCTCTATACTGGATATAATTAGATGCTCTGAAATCCAAACATTACAAACATTGGCCCAAAATGTATTCTATTCTTATCATTCAACACTATTTACTCTTATAATTTAATATCGCCCAGAATTGTAGAAAATTCTTAAAATTCGGTCTTGATTTGAAGAACTGCAGAAAATTGTCTTCCAAATTACGACTCAATTTCAAGAATTTTAAGATCTACACAATCTTAAATTGTAGACAAGGTTTCCATAATGGCAAATACAAGGTGGAATTTCAGGTCTTTTATATTCTGTTACATTCGCTTATATATAAAGGCATAATTGCCCAAGATTTAATTTTTTGTGAGTGACCTTATTCATATATAATTATTTTCTCCTCTCTGAAGTGCCTCTCCACCATTTGCTTGTTAATACTTTTAGATGCAATGAAACAACAGAACAAGAAGACATTGGTTCAGGATTGCAAAGGGCAATTAGACAGATACCTGTATATTTTTCTTTACTCAAGGGTAATTAACAACTGGATCAGGTTGCCAGTTGAGGGTGTTTGAGATCAGGACACTGGACCTATTTAAAAAACAGCTTGATGGGAAGACACTAGGGTGGGTGTTCTGGAAGGAGGAGATCGTAACCGATCTTGTAATCTTTTCACAAGAAGTGGTATCAATGAGTCACGTATCAATGAGCTAAGGAACAGCAATTAAACTTTTTTTTACATGTATTGTAGAATAATAATAATCTTTGCAGTTGATATAGTGCTTTTCACATTAGGAAAATATCTCAAAGTAAAATAAACGTCATGCTAAGCAATCTGTGAAACTCTGGTCAGACTGCTGCTCAGACATCCATTGTACAAACTGTTTGTGACTTTAAGGGCAATATATTAATAATAATAATCCTTACCTTTTTATAGCGCTTTTCACATTGGGAGGACCCTCTAATGGGTGTAAAGTATGAAGATTGTGTGTTTTGTGAGCAAATTCAGCAGCCAATTTACACATATCAATGTCCCACAAACAGCCATGAAGTGAGTGACCAATTTTATTTGGGCAATTGTTGGTCAGGACATCTGAAGAAACTCCCTTCTCTTTTTTAATAGTGCCATGGGATCTTTAACATCCACCTGTATAGGCAGGCTGGGCTTCAGTTTAACGTCTCATCCAAAATGCCACACCTCCATCAATGCAACACATGCCCAACCCCACTGTATGAGTTGCAACTCCTGGTGTGGGGCTTGAACCTACAACCTTCTGATTCAGAGGTGAGAGTGCTACCTGTAGTGCCAAGATGATGCAGTTTAAGACAATGCTATTAATACCTGCTTGAGACAGAATTAGAAACCAGATCAACCTGTTGAGGCACATACCAAACTGAAAGTAGTTTTCTGAAAATAAACATACACTATGTCCTACTTTGTCTGCATTCAGGGTGTGTTTATTCCAACCCATTTCATACATGTGAGGAATGAATGACAATTGGAAAAATTTTAGACATGTCATTCTAGCATAAAAAAGAACAAGTCTTTCTGTTTTTTGTTGCTCTGTTCATATTGATAATCCTGTGAAATGCTTTGAGATGTCTCAATAATGCAATAAGGTGTTATATCAAGTGCAAGGATTATTCTTATTTTTATTACTAATGAAATTCATAAGAACAATCTTTTTAAAGCGCTTACAAATATATTAATCCTGTTAAATGGGGACAAGAGTTTGTATTTCACATTTGCCTACAAAATACAAGGTCACTACATTTTACAGTAAATTCTGTGAAATGCTTTGAGATGTCCTCCTGACATGAAAGGCGCTATTTCAAATGCAATGGTTATTATTATTGGCAAAGTGGAGGGAAGGTTGGCTTTTGAGGTTTATAGGAACATAGGAACATTGGAATTAGGAGCAGAAGTCTGCCATTCAGCCCCTCAAGGCTGCCCCGCCATTCAATAAGAGCATGGCTGATCTTCGAACCTAACTCTATCTGCCCGCCTTATCCCCTTATCCCTTAATCCCTCTATCCTTTAGAAATCTATCAATCTCAGTCTTGAATATGTTCAAGGACTGAGCATCTACAGCCTTCTGGGTAGAGAATTCCATAAATTCACTACCCTCTGAGTGAAGAAGTGTGTCCTCAACTCTGTTTGAAAAGGCTGACCCTTAATCTTAAGACTGTGACCCCTAGTTCTAGATTCTTCTACCAGGAGAAACAGTCTCACACTGTCTACTCTGCCAAGCCCCATAAGAATCTTATATGTTTCTATAATATCACCTCTAATTCTTCTATATTCTAGAGAATATAGGTCTAGTTTACTCAACCTATCCTCATAGGTCAACCCCCTCACCCCAAGAACCAACCTAGTGAATCTACACTGTACCCCCTCTAAGGCGAGTATTCCTTTCTTAAATAAGGAGACTAAAACTACACACAATACTCTAGGTGCGGTCTCACCAAGGCCCTATACAGTTGCAGCAAGACTTCCCTACTCTTTTATTCTAACCCTTTTGCAATAAACGCCAACATGCCATTAGCCTTCCTAGTTGCTTGCTGTACCTGCATACTTACTTTTTGTGACTGATGTACAAGGACACCCAAATCCCTCTGAACACTATCACTATCTAGTCTCTCCCCTTCTAGAAAATAATCTCTTTTGTGTTTTTACTACCTAGGTGAATAACTTCACACTTCCCCACATTATATTCCTGCACAGGATCACCATACATATAAACCCACAAATTTTCAGCACAGAGTGAGACCATTTTTTCCATTGTGTCTGTGCCACTATTACTTCTGTTTTATCAGGAGGTTTTCTGTTTTCAATGTTTTTCTATTATTTTACCTCTATTTTCTCCTGGGTACTATTAGACTACTAGAGATTAACAAATTGCAATTATTTTCACAGATATAAAAATCTGCCCTTTGTCCCATGGACAAATGGGAGTCATTCATAGCAGCAGCAACCTCATGACAAGGAAAGTGGATATAATGTACATACAGAGAGATGCAAACATAAAATATGCGACAATCCAACGCAAACATCCCTAGTACGGACGTCCCAGAGCGCTTCACAGAACACACTCTAAAGTGAATTGTGGGCGAACGCGGCAGCCAATTGCGCACAACAATGTCCCACAAACAGTCGTAGATTGAAAATGACCAATTTATTATTGTTTTTGGAGGGATTATTATTAGGCGTGTGGAGTAAGGAAACTTGCCCAAGGTTTCGCCCTGCCTGGAATTGAACTCAGGTCTCTCGCTTGCAAAGCGAGTGCTCTAACCACTGAGCTACAGGACTCCACATGGATGGCAAATAAAGAGTTGTCACTGAATATTGTTTAACAATAGTTTTACTAAAAAGTACACAATTTATTGCAACCTTTGGAACTGCAGGCAAAGGCTACAATATGAGATCATCCAATGTTAAATCCAATTTACACCAGACAGAAAAATATACAAAATTCCTACACATGTTTGCAGAGTAAACCTCATTTCTGTGAATTCTGAACATTCTTGTTCTGTACAAACATGTTAAACATGAAACGAGCAAAACATATCAAATTCTTCGCAGCCAGCGGAGAAACAATTGAATACTTGAAAATATTCTCACAACTTCTGTCTCAGTCCAGACTGCTGTCTTTTAGTGTTTAAATTATAACCGCAGAAAAGCAATGAAATATCTCCGACTGTCCTACCCTATTGTAACTACTCAATGAGCATTGTTTACTTAAAAAGGCACTTTTAATAACTGCATAAATCAAATCATATATCAGATTAAGACAATTAATGCTTACAGATTCTTTTCTTACATTTGTCTTCAATCTTTGCAAAATTGTAGACTTCTTCTTTTACCTGGGTTGAGCTCGGTGCAGCTGGCATGTTATGTACCTCTGCCTCACTTGGGAATGACACCTCTCTACCTTAGCCCTACCATGTACCATGTTGTTTTCCCATTACATCACAGACTTATGGGATAGGATGGACCAACCTGAGATGTTTTGGGAGGAGGGTTTGATTTTGTCTAAAGCACTCCGGAATAGAACTGCACATCCGTCAAAACCATTTACCCAGATTTGTGATACCTGGCGAGGGAAATCCTCAGGTTCAGGGTCAATGACTTTCACAAATAACAAAGTGCCGGTGCATAATATGGAAATACTGCTATTTGTATTATGAAAATAAAGGCATTTTTTTCTTTTAAAAATAGAATGCAAATGTTCAGTGGTTCTCTTATTCTAATGGATTTGCAGTTAATATTTCAGGAAGCATTTTGATTCCTCGGCTAGATAATTTGGTTGATTTCTTCCTGTTGCTGTAGATATTGTGCAAATCAAAATGAAGATTCTTTTTGGTGTGAAGGCCTGGATCACTTTGGTGGGGCCAATTTGCAATCCAAATCCACTGCTGAAATAATGGATCTATTTCAAGCTGGCTGGTCTGTCATCTCCAGGGCACTGCTAATGACAGACCAGCCAGCCTGGTTCATCGGCAGGATGTGGAGGGGTAGACTTGCACTGGGGGCATGGATTCTTTACACTCAGCTTCTGCTAACCATGAAAGCCAAAACCCTAATGGATAGGGTGGCTCTAGCTGGACAAGCAGTGGGAGGTTTGCCAGACAATGCTTTCAGTAGCAATCAACGTGGTTTTAGCTGATTAAATTCCAGAAATGCCCCAACACACACACTGCAATCCCCAAGCCTTGGCTCTCGCTAAACTGTGCCTAATATTCTCTGGAATTAGGTACGCATGGTGGGGAGAGAGTGCATATTCCATTCCAGACACAGGAAACTCCATGCTTAGATGACATGCATGGAACTCTCAGTCTGCTTTGGATACTCTTAAGCATTATGACGAGTTTCCGCGGACACCAGGCTGACCAAACAAAACCTGAGATAGCTAATAAATGGAATAATATACTAGAGTAATAATTGCTAATAATTATTTTTTTATTTGCTCACTGATTTTAGAACTCACCCCTTCACCAAAGATTGACTTTCAGAGGAGCTAACTGACGTACATTGTAGAATGTATTTTCAGATAATCTGCACTGGACTCAGTGTATGAAATAGGTCAATCATGAAACAATGTCTTCATGTTCTTATATCTATTAACATGTGGAGTCCTGTAGCTCAGTGGTTAGAGCACTCGCTTTGCAAGCGAGAGACCTGAGTTCAATTCCAGGCAGAGGGCGAAACCTTGGGCAAGTTTCCTTACTCCACACAGAGCCTAATAATAATCCCTCCAAAAACAGTAATAAATTGGTCATTTTCAATCCACGACTGGTTGTGGGACATTGCTGTGCGCAATTGGCTGCTGCGTTCGCACACAAATATACAGTCAATTCACTTTACAGTATATTCTGTGAAGCGCTTTGAGACGTCCAGAAGATGTGAAAAGCGCTATATCAAATGCAAGGATTATTATTATTATTATGTGGATCTCACTTTAGATCTCTTGTACACCATTCTCGCTCAGTTATTCCGAGTCAGAAGATTGTAGATTCTGGATTCATATCGAGACTTGGGCTCAGGGTTAGAATGCCAGCGTGTAGATCCAGACACCATGAGAAAGTACCTATGTAAATGCTATGAAAATGCAAGTTGTTGGCTTTTTGCTGATTCTTGCTGCAAGCAAATCACTGCTGTTGCACTTGACAGTAATTATTTGTGAAGTGCTTTGAAGTAATTGAATGAGTTAAGATATCTATAAAATGTAATTTTGTTTTTTACAGAGCAGCTTTGCACATTCTTTAATATTACTGTTAAGGCATCTCTGATGCTGTGGAAAGATTGTCAGCGAGTTATCACTTCTGTCTGATGCTGCAATGCTGTCAATGGACATTCTTCTTTAACTCATTTTAAGGGTTGTGAAGGAACTTACCTGTTTCATCTATTTCACTTCTGAAACCCTTTTGGAGTTGCTTGTTACTCATAATTTATTTCACATTTCCTTTTTGGACACAAAAACACACAGCAACTTAACTTTACAGAATATCCTGTGAAATACTTTGGGACATCCTCCCGAAGTAAACTCTGCTGTGCCAAATGTAAGGATTTTTTTTCTCTCTTGCTTTGAGAAGTTATTTTGAAGATGCTTATTTACTTTTTAAGAGCATTCACGAGAGCTGTTGGAAAAAAACGAGTAATAACTTTGACACTTCTGTGTTTTATTCCAGTATCCCACATGCCATGTTCACCTGAATATTGTAAGCAAACTGTCAAGATCCAGCCCTTCTTGGATCTGCTCAATAATTTTCTTATATATATATAAAATAACCCTTGCAATTGATATAGTTCCTTATCATATTGGAGAGACCTCTCATGGAGTTTTACTGTGAAGTGTAGTGACCGTGTGTTTATAGGCAAAGGCGAAGGCCAATTTGCTAGGGAAGCTGACATTCGAGGATTTGAGGTAAAGATGTCACAAGATCACAAGATTTGTTTGGATGAAGAATGCCTTTCAGCCTATCTAATCTCATCCCTCAAGAATACCCACCCAACCATCTTCCCATCACAGCATCAAGCTGCTTCTTAAAATTAGTCCAGTGCCCTGGCCTCAATCACGTTTCCTGGCAACCCCTTCCTTTCATTAATTACCCTGTGAGTAAAGAAAAACCTCCAGGTAATCATCCTGAAATTGCCCTTTGTAACTCTAAACCTATGTCCTACCATCTTGCTGAATCCTTAAATAAGGTCTTACCATCAGTGGCCCTTAGAAAAGTTACATATATTGCAAACAATTCTGTTTTTTTTCTCAAAGAATAGCAGTTTTCTTTTGTGGTTTGATGGATGATCACTGGTGGAACTAAGTGTGGAAGCAGAGAGCTGCTGACATTTATCTAGGGATGGTAAGCTTCCCCCACACATACCCCCAACTCTGGAGTGTTTAGAGATTTGTCCTCTTGCTCTTTCTCGAGGGCCTGAGGTTTTGTTACGCACAGGAATTATTTGAGGTAGGTTGTTATGTGCTTTACCACACTGGTTTAACTAAAAAAACAGAGTTGAGCAGGTGTCCAATGGCCACAATGCTGAGTATCTGCTGTGGTCCAGTGATGAAGTCGGGGGGTGGGGGCTAGAGGCGAAGAGGGAACAGACCAATTGGGACAGACTAGAAATGGACGAGCCTCGCTGACTGCATTTATTAACAATATGATAATTAGCATTGGTGATGATTAATAATAATAATCCTTACATTTGGTGTAGTGCTTTATCATGTCAGAAGGACACCTCTAAAACTAATACATCACATCTCGCAATTTTCACCCCTTACAGTGACTAAAATTGCATGCAAATCTTGTCCCCTCCTAAGCAAGCAATAGTTTGCCTTTTACAGATGCTGCCAAACTAAATGATAAATCTGGAAGCGCTTATCTCGGAAAAAGTTGAAGGAATGAGATGACATGTCTTTTCTTTTAGACGATACAGATAAGAATTTTTATTTTGATCTGCTAGGTATCTGATGCATTGTTTCTGTGTGTGTCAGACACCTGGTCAACTAAAAAACATTCTATTCTATTGTCTTAATCTGTAAATCTGTAGTCATTATGACTCACAGATTCAATTTATATCAGAAAGATATAAATTATCCCCAAAGTCTCTAGTCTCTTATTTAGCATATGCAATATTAATATCAGTCAAAAATAGCATCTCAGCATTGCATTGGAATGACTATCAAGTCAATTGTAGCAACATTTTGGTATGTTTGTCTGATTCATGTAAAAGAGTGCCAAAACTCTGTTATTCATTTCATGGTAATATTATCTTTTTAAATAATAATAATAATAATAATCCTTGCATTTGATATAGCGCTTTTCACGTCAGGAGGACGTGCCAAAGAGCTTCACAGAACACACTGTAAAGTGAATTGACTGTATATTTGTGGGCAAACGCGGCAGCCAATTGCACACAGCAATGTCCCACAAACAGTCGTAGATTGAAAATGACCAATTTATTATTGTTTTGAGTTTTTGGAGGGATTATTATTAGGCGTGTGGAGTAAGGAAACTTGCCCAAGGTTTCGCCCTGCCTGGAATTGAACTCAGGTCTCTCGCTTGCAAAGCGAGTGCTCTAACAACTGAGCCACAGGACTCCACAGTGTTGTCAGTGTTCTTGATGGTGGATGCCTGCCGGTTATTCCAGACAAGGTATCATACAGAAATCGTAAGCTTGTTGATTTATGGTGTTGATGCCTAGGAGCACGCATATGTTGGAATGCATGTTCCTTTTCTAATCTCCTCAAAAGAATGTACTGAACACCTGCTTTTATGAATGTCTCCCAGGCACCTAAATGCAAATTTCTTAACTTCCTACTGGATCTTCGTTTTATCATTAAAAATCTTTCCAACGTGTATAACACGGAAAATAATCTGATTACATTTTGCTTCATTCTTTGCCTGTGCTGTGTGTTGCAACTGGGCAGCAGGTACAATGCTTGTTATGTGCTGGATTCAATGGTTGCTCTCTTGTGTGACCCTCATTGAATAGCAAGTAATACAGTGCACTCCATAAAATTGAACGAAATTGGGACTGGACAGACGCCATACAATTATACAGAGTATGCAATTATCTGAACTTCATCGGAGGCATCATCTTCCTGTCATTCTCTACCCTTCCTCTGTTGATGTTCTCCGCACTTCCTCTCTTTATACCTCCTGATCCGTTTCTCTTACCGTCACTCTTCGTGCTTCCTGTCACAATATGTTTGAAAAGACACCATACCCGCACCTCACACGGTCAACTACTCAACCACTCCAATTACCTATATACAGGTGGAAATTAAATGGCTGACTATCTTTTATGCAATTAAGTGACTTATGCAATGATTTGATATGCATTTGAGTGGAGTGCAATATCATCCAAGCAAATAGAGAATTTTCTCTACCTAGACATTATCTTAGCAATTATCCGATATGCAGTTAAGTGGGGTAAACTGTACTGCATCATCATGTTTGCTGGCAGATATCAGTGCAGAGCGCAGTGGCAGTAATGAAACCAAATGTAGCCAGAAGACTCAATGCCTGGTTGCTTGAAAATATTTTAAACCATTTTATTTATTATTATTAGATATCTGTGGCAATGAGGATTACTCATTCGGTTGGAAGCTAGAGATTGTCACTAATGACTACTGATGGGCTTGAAATCAGTTGGACAGATAGACTTGACCACACATGGTGCACATGAAAGTGACCAGATAGTGCCTTTGAGCTTACTGACATAGTTGCTGTTGGATGGTCGCCGTAGGCTCTCTTTGCTTGAGCTACCAGCACTAACCAGGCTCAAAGACATGAACACTGTTGAGGTTGTTACTCATTGTATGATTGCTGATGCTCCACAACTGGAGCACATATTTCAGTGTTATTGGGCTGACCGCCAAGAGAAATACGTAAAATGTCTAAGCTGAAATATATTTGAATCAGTCCATTTAGCTGCAAAATAGACATTTGGTGACAAATCCAATGAATCGGATAATAATTATGATGATCCTTCCATTTGGGGCAATAGAAAGACATCTCCATTCCAATGACATGTCATTTCTAACCACTGCTTCAAAATTTTGGCAAAAAGCTGAGTTGTACTTTGCTTATCAACTATTGTACATGATTGTTGGTTCAAGCTCCGTGTCAGGGCCTCTGAGATAATCTGCGTTACATTGTTGGAGGTCCATCTTTCAGATGAGATGTTAAACAGAGGTTTAAGTGGCCATTAAAGATCCCATAATACTATCTGAAAAGTGAAGGGAGATTCTCCCAGTATCCTGACCAAAAATTCTCTAGAAAATTAATTCAATTTGTGCCTATATGGAACATTGCTGTGCATAAATTGCCTGCTGCATTCTCCTTCAAAGACAGAGTTACTACACTTCACAATAAACTCTGTGAAGTGCTTTGAGATGTTTCAACTTTACTGCCTCTATATGAAATGCAAGTATTATTTTTGAAATTTTATTACACACATGACAAGAAATGGAGTAGGTCTGGATAAAGTAAAATTCCATTCATAGAGACAATATTTTCTCTATGTAATGTAAAAGAATGATTACTTTGGAATCATTTATCACACAAATATGTGCATTGATCTTTTAATTCACAAAATGCAGTAGAAGTTGCCTCATTGTCAACATAAAAGCCAGGGTCACATTATCTAACCTCCTAATATCTGGGTACTGACTGATTCTCCAAGTTCCTTCTTTTCTCAAACCATATCCCTGTTCTAGTACTGGAAATAATCAGCCTCTTGATCAGAATCATGTCTTAAAAAGCATGTATCAGTTTGGGTCAGTCTCACATCCTTAAATGTTCGTCTCACAAGTCTAGACTGTGTTTGCTGTGAATATTATGCTGAATGCTAATAAAGGCAGCATAAAATTAAAGGTGAGATACATGATTAAAGTATTTGTACTGGAGTTCATCTTCTGAGTGCACATTGAGGAGACGGTTTTGGCAAGACATGAATTCACAACCATTACAGGTAAACTGCAATACAAATGCATTAGATTTCTAATAACAATAATAACAATAATAATTCTTGCAATTGATTTAGCGTCCCTCATGTCAGGAGGATGTCTCAAAGCACTTCACAGGATATACTGTAAAACAAAAGTGACCATTTTATAGGTTAACACAGCAGCTAATTTACACACCGCAATGTCCCAGAAAACAACCGTGAAATGAATGATCAATTTTATCTGAAGATCTTTGGCTAAGACAGCAGGAGTAACGCCCCTCTCTTTAGAATACTGCCGCAGATGGGAACTCAGTTTAATATTTTACCTGAGGGATGGTACCTCTAACAATGCAGCACCCCCACCCCCCTCCACTCAGCACTACATTGCAGTGTCAGCCTAAGTCTACAGAGTTTAAAGTACTGATGTGGGACTTGAACCAACATCCT